TACACCAGCTGATGCCAAATGGAGCAGAGTCAAGCTGTCCCCGCTGAACCTGGCCAAAACAGGTGTCGCCATTGTTTTAAGCCACGAAGTGTTGGGGTACTTTTGTTAAAAAGCTCTGGTAACTGAAAGAACCTCGCCCACACCTTGCTCGTGAGAGACGGTTCTCTCCATTTTATAGACAAGAAAACCGAGTCTAACCTACTAGAGTGGAGTCAAGATTCAGTGCCAGAGGTCTGGGGTTCTTAATCATTAGGCCCGGGCCACAGGGCTGACCTCAGAACTCACCCTTGTGTCCCTTCTGACGTATCAGTTGTGCCGTGGCTTGGGTTTGAGGTGATGGAAATTAGAGGTGGGGACAGTTGACAGACTGTTGTGGGGGTGGGGGGGTTGGGGTGGGGACACAATGATTCTTGCTCCATAGATTCATCTCTTGACTCTTGGGGACACTGACAGATCATCCCCAGGGTTGTCAGCAGCCCAAGGGCTTCCTGCCAGGACCTCACCATTAGTGGCCTTAAGAGGTGCCCAGGTCATGTCCGCAGGGATGTGAACAGCACCGTACAAGAGGCTTTGGGTGCGCTTTAAGCTGCCAGGCTTGCAACCCTTGAGTATCACCCTGGGTGCTGAAATGCAGGGACCTGGAAAGGGAGGTGGGTCGGGACGTGCTGGGTTCTGGAGATGCAGCTAGGAGTGGGGGTGACTTCAAACTCTTCTTTGGACCCCAATACTTGAGGAGCCCCCAGCTAACAAGCGACTCTCCAGGAATGATCCGTGTTCCCTGCCTTTGTTCCCAGGAGCAGAAAGATCCGTTCTTCCAGGAAATAGATTCCAGTGTGTCGCCTCCTTCCCTGGGTGTGTTTCTCATGAGCTAAATGTGAGGTGAGGACTCTAGGCTCCACTGGGTCGGGGTGGGAAGCCAGCTCACCAGGTGAGGGGCCGGGATGGGGAAGCAGGTGGGCCGGTGTTTTATGCCCATCAATAACCCATCTCCCTTCTGGTCACTCTCCCCCAGGTTCCCATGACTCCCGTCCCCACAATCCCTTTGGGTCCCACAGGGCTGACCTCCTCCTGTTCCCAGGTGCCTGCCTCAGGTGCCTGGTGAAGGCTGTGCAGTGAGCAGAGCTGGACGAACCCAGGAGGGGCTTGTTTGGAGCATAGCAGGGGAGCAGGACATGGGGGCTGTGTCTGAGGCCTTGAGGGTTATGTCCAGGAAGCAGAGATGGCTCTGGGTGTGGGGCTCAGAATGAGGTGGGGATGATAAGTTCACCCACAGAGCACGCTGACTACCAAAGGCCCTTCCAGGCCCACCGTTGAATGTTGCCTTTGGGCACCGGCACAGGGGCTCCCTGAACTTGCCACCTGACCCCAGATGGCGTCTTTCCGGTCCCTTCTCTGGGCCCTCCCACCAGCTCCTCGTACCTGCTACCACCTTGACACATGCTGCTTCTCGTGGTGCTGGCTGGTCCCCATTTCCCTGAGAGCTGGAGGTCCCCCCCATAGCTCCTCTCCAGGCTGGACTTATGCCCAAACCCCCTGGGACACTGGCCGAGAGGCCTGTGTTTAAAGGTCCTCAGCAGCTGGACAATTTATGAACTTCCTCTAGAGCTCACCTCTGTGCGATCTCGGGGGGGATGGGGATAGAGCCTAGTCATGCTCCCCAATCCAGGAGGATGAAACTGGGCCCAAAGCGGCCGCAGCCTGCCCAGGGCCACTCAGGTCTGTGTCAGCCAGGCTTGCCCTGTTAGTGTAGCCCATAGTGACTGCACAGCACCCTTCCTGGTGCCCATCTCCAGGCAGGGAGAGCCTGGCTCAAGCATTGCATTGCATTCATTCATTCATTCATTCATTCATTCACACTTTTATTCATTCGTTCATCTGGCAGGTATTTACTGAGAACAAACTGCATATCACATGCTAGGGACAAACAGAGAGAGATGAGTCACCACACAAGTCGTTAACCTTGCGCCTTAAGAAGGGTTCACATAAAGGGAAAAGGCTTGGGCGGGGGAGGAGGGGGGGGTCTGTTTTAGAACTTGGACAGGCTAAGCGGCCTGTGTGAGCAAGTGTCAGCAATATTCACACTGAAACAATGAAAGATGGAAGAGCTTCTCCTGCCGGCACCACTTCCCAGAGGGGGTCACAGCGGCACGCGCCCCTCCAGCACGATCTTCTTGCGACAATGACGCCCTTCCACGGAGAGGTGGGTCTACAGCCCTGCCTTGGACCTGGGGAGACCCGGCCCAATGGAATGTGGTAGAAGCTCCACTGAATGGCTTGTGAGGCCAGGTCCTAAAAGGTGATATCGCGTCCACCTGGCGCCCTGGGGACGGCACCTTTGTAGCCCTGAGCGGCCACGGAAGAAGCCTGGCTGCCGGAAGCCCCTGAAGAACCCTGGGGGGAGGGGGGAGGGGTTGATGGGGGATGCCCAGGAGCTGGCAGGCGAGATGAAGAAGCTTCCAGATGACCCCAGCTCAGCCTGCGATCTCATGAGAGACCCGAGCAGACCGCCCAGCTGAGCTGCTCACAAATTCCTGATCTACAGAAACCCTGAGAGATAATAAATGGTGATTTTGGTTTTAAGCCACTAAGTTTTGGAGTCATTTGTTGGCAGCCACAGTAACGGGAAGCTGGTGAAAGGGGGCGGGGGGTAAGGGTGAGGGTGGGCAGACAATAGTGCTCTGAACAAGAGAACACAGCATATGCAAAGGCCCTGGGGTCAGAAGGGGTGCTGAAATGAAGGTGCAGAGGTCGGCAGGCCATCTCCCAGGCTTTCTAGAATTCTTCTGTTCATCCGATCTACATTTCTTCTGTGGATGGGTCATTCTGTTTCTTCTTTTGTACAAAGAGAGCCTAGTGTAATTTTAGGACTGGTGTCTATTTAAGTCTATGCAGGGAAGGAACTTACATTACATTCATTCATTCTTTCCATCAAGAGGAGTAAATGCATCACCTGTGCCGGTAGCTTCCCATCATCATCTTGACGTCCCACGAGGAGGTTTAATGCTCTCACTAGTGCACAGTGAGGAGACAGAGAATGAGGGGGCTGCTGTCCCTGCACACTGCACACTGCACACGCCCTGGGAGGGTGGGTGGGTGGGAGGGGATGGGTTAGGCTCTGGGACAAGCCCGGTGGCTACGCCTGTCCTTCTTCAGTCCAGGCCAAGCACTCCAGGCTGTGTAACCTTAGGCAAATCCCTCCTCTACTCTAGGGTTCCGTTTTTCTCTTCGTTAAAATGGGTAGATGATAACGCTGGCCTCCCTGGGAATATTGCGCAGCTCAACCTACTCAGTCCTAACGATAGGCTCTTGCTCTGGACTCCTGTGTGCCAGGCACCGTAGTAAACCCCCAACCGGTGTGAGCACGCCTCTGCCTTGCAAGGCCGGAGGTGGTGTGACTCTGCCGGTTGAGGGGGAGTGAGAACAGGGCTCTCAGCACGCGGGAAGCTCACGAATGCAGGTGCCCGATCACCAGCTGCCTTTCCTCTTCCTGCCACGGCCCAGCACACCTGGCTGAATGTTCTCCGTCCCCCGGATGAGCCCCCGGTTCGCCGCTGTCCCAAGCAGCTGCCCTGTTCAAAATTCCAACAGGATTTGGGAAAACAAAGGGGAAAAAACAATACCAAACAGCGGACCTGCCCCCGCTCTGGGAAAAGGATCAGAGAAAGCCGGAAGCAGCCACCCGGGAGAGCCCCAGCCGGCTCCTGGGCACCTCCTGCCCCACAATCGTCCGCCCGCCAAATCCTCAGCCTCATGGGGTTAACATTCCGGTGGGTTGGGGGAGGGGAGGTAGATAATGACCTTACACGGACCCTAATTTAAAATAATTATTTCTACTCACCCAGTGCCAGCACTGTTCTCACCGCCTAACGTTCACGCCCTGAGAAATGGGTGGTATTTTCCTCGGTTTATCGAGAGGAAACAGAGAAGTCGAGTGACTGGCCCGAAGTTGAACAGCGGGTAAGGCGTGGAGCCAGGATTTGAAGCGGGAGACAGATAAACAAGGACATCAACAGTCCCCCGTCCTCATGCTGAGGACTCACATGCATTCCTGGTGCGAGAGACGGGTTTACTCAGCTGATGGGTGGGGATATGGAAGCCCCCAAGGTCTCAGGGCCGGCAGCTGGGGAGCGGGTTTAGAGCCGCCGCCTCTGACTCCAGGGCTGCCTCCCAAGCTCTCCTCCCGACCCGCTACCCCCAGCTGCAGGACAGACGGCCTCTCCGGCTGTCACAGGACCTGAGCCAGGGCCACCTCAGGGCACAACGTCCCTGGCGGCCCGGCCCCGAGGGAGCCAGCTCCGTGGTGAAGCATGCACTCCCCTGGCCCCCCAAGGACGTCTGTCTCCTGAAACAGGTTGGACGGGCTGCCTCCTCCCCAGCCTCGCCCCTCTGCCCCTCCCTTGGCTCTATCCGGGTTCTTTCCCTGTGAGCCAAATGCTCCCCCGGAACTACAGCAGGAACGTGCTGGGGGGGGGGGGGGGGAGACAGCGGAGGCATGGGGTGCTGAAATTTGAGATTCCGGCCTTCGTGGGAGGAGGCGGGAAAGAGAGACAGACAGAGACAGGAAGAGACAGTTGGGTTGGGTTGGTTTTCTGCAGCAGGCGGCCTGGGGGGCGTGTGAGTCTGTGAGTGTGTGTGCACACGTCTGTGGGTTGTTTTCTTTCCTGCGCCCTCACAGGGAGGCCTGGTCCCCCTGGGTAATAAGGGCTCTGAGGCCCCTAGGCACAGCAAGGCTGGTGCACAGACAGGGTAGCAAGAGGGCCCGCGAGAGGAAGGGAGGGAAAGGGGGAGAATAGAGGTGAGGGAGAGCGGGAGCGAGCAGGGCGGTGGGCGGAGCTGAGCAGCTGTGGCATCTGGAACAAGTATAAATAGCTGTCTGGGTGGAGCTTGGCCAAACAGGGGTTTGCAGCTGCAGCGGTTCTAGGGCAGACCTGTCCACTGCTGGCCACAGCGGGGACACCCAGGCACGGAGCGGGGCCGGGGGGGTGGGCTCTGACCAGACACCCCTCACCATCACCACATCTCTGGATGCTCTCCTGGCCGGCCATGCTGCTGGGGGGCCTCCTCCTCACCGTGGCCACCCTGACTGTGGCCCAGCGGAGGGGGCAGGAGGTGAGAGAGCGCCGCCTGGCGCATCGCGTCCAGCATGGCCAGTGCAGCTACACCTTCCTGCTGCCCGAGCCGGAGGCCTGCGCTCCAGAGGCTGGGGGCACCTTCAGGGGCTCCAACAGCCTCCAGAGGGACTCGCTGAACCTAGTGGCCTGGCCTACCAAGCGGATGCAACACCTGGAGAAGATGCTGGAGAACAACACACAGCGGCTGCAGAAGGTACGGGTTGGGCCTGCGGGGGGGAGGGGGAATTGGGGGGCAGCAGTTGGCAGCTGGAGCATCCACCCCAGAGGCCTTCCCTGGGCACAGAGGGCCAGGCTGATGGGACCCTTGTCTCTGAATTACAGAGACTGAGATAATGAGGCCCAGAGAGGGGCAGGGATAAGCCTAAGGCCACACAGCAAGACTGGGCAGGGTCAGAACTGGAAACCTGACTGCCTAACTGCCCATCACTCATTCACCTGATAAAAGCTACCATGGGCCAGGCCCTTCCCGGGTGCTGGGGATTCACCAGCAAATAAACAGTATGTCCCCTTCTGGACTACTGGGGGCAGAGGCATAAAGAGATGAACAGTAAACATCTACCAGATGGTGAAGCAAAATGAAAGAGGGGGAAAGGCAAGAAGTGACCAGGGGTGGCTATTTGAGGTCAGAGAAGTCGAGAGAACCCTGAGAACAAGTGGAGTGAAGGAGCGGCCCGTGCAGGGACCTGGGAGGAGGGCCTTTACGGCAGAGGGGCCAGCGAGTGCGAAGGCTGGGAGGTGGGGACAGCAGGATGGCCAGTGCGGCTGGAGCAGAGGAGGAGGGGGACCAAGGGTGAGGGATGAGACCGAGAGGAGAGGGGAGGGCAGTCCATGTTGGGCCTTGGAGGCCTCTGGACGGACTTTGGCTCTTGCTCCGAGCACCCTGGGAGCCATTGCAGGATTCTGAGCAGGAAAAGACACACCTGAATCTGTTTGAACAGAACAGTCCGTAGGGCATAACAGGGACAGGGTGGAGGTTTGCAGCCCGAGGAGGAGGCTGCTGCAGCCACCAGGCAAGAGCGATGGAGGCCTGAAGCAGGATGGGGCTGGAAGTGGGCGTTGATGCCATTCATGTCGACAGTCAGATGCTGGTATATCCTGAAGAGGGAGCTGATGGGCTCTGCTGATGCATTGGATAGGGGGTGGCAGAGACAGGGAGCTGAGGACACCACTGCCATGTGCCCCAGGCCAGCGCCACTAGGAGCTCCTGCCCTCATTCTTTCAGCAAACACTCTGAGCTCCTACTGCGTGCCAGGCCCTAGGTCGGGCACTGAGGTGAATGAGGCAGGCTTGGCCCCGGGGCCGGCGTAGGGGCAGGAAAGGCACCCTGCAGGTCCCGAGATGGACCTGGCCAGCCCCCTGAGTAGGAGCTACCGAGGGAGAGAACAGGACCCAGGCACCAGAGACCGTCTGATCGATAGCAGGAGTGGAGAGGAGTGAACCGATTCCGGGGCCTTTTGAATGTATGAAACAGCAGACAGCAGCTTACAGACTAAGGTGAGAGCAAAGGAGGCAAGAATGTCCCCCGAGGTGCCTCTCCAAGGAGCGGGCCCTTCTTACCATGGTTTCCAGATTGTTCCAATCGTGTGCCCACACGGCAATGTTCACTCCCTAATACGTGCATATTTATTAGATAGCTATACACGTGTGCCCACATGAAGATCATAGGTGCAAGGGGTGACACAAACGGAAATGCACATCAAGTGAAAATGAACACAAATGAAAATGAACATTAAAAAGATGGCATAGGACCCTGGCCCGTGTGGCTCAGCAGGTTCGGCATCGTCCCATGCACCCAAAGATTGCCCATTCAGTTCCCAGTAGGGGTCATGCAGGAGGCAGCCAATCAATGTCTCACTTACATCAGTGTTTCTCTCTCCCTCCCTCTCCCTTCCTCTCTCTCTGAAAATCACTAAAAAAAAATCTTTTAAGAAAGATGCCATGTGAAATCATGCAAATTGAAGTTCTGGTATTTTCTCCCAGTTTCCCAAAGAACTGCCTTTTGCACACTCTGGGGGGCTCCATCCGCAAGGGAGAGGCTGCCCTGCACCTGCCTAACCAACGTGTGCCATGCACACACACACCTTTGTGCACACATGCACTTAATCTCCTGTTTCACTCCTGCCCAGACCACCCGTCTCCTCAGCCCTCACTCAGCATCTTCCCATAGTCCTCTGCCCACCTGCCCTCCCACTACCTGCTCTGCAACACCTCCAGCCTCCACCATCCCACCCTCAGGCCTCCACCCTCAGGCCCCCCTCCAGGGAGCTCTTGGCTTCACACTCTGGAGCCAACCCAGTGGGGGCTCCATGCTGCCCTGAAATCTGTGTCTTCAGGCACCTGTTTCCAGTCCCATAAAAGTTACTCCAAACCTCACCTTCCTTAGGCCTCCATCCTGAACCCCACCCATCTTCTCACCAGACCATGGGCCTCCTGCAACAAGAAATGGGGCCCAGGAGAGAGGTGCCCCTCAGCAGCCTGCCCCACACCTGCAGGCTCACCTGCGCAATCGCCAGTCCCCAGAGCCTTTCTCCAGGGGCCAAGGCCGCTTCTCCGTTCTAGGCTGTGAGCCCATCCTCTGCAGCCCCTCAGCCTTCTCAAATCAACATCCTTCCTGTGTCTCCATCCACTGCTTCCTCCCTGCTGGCCCTCCCCCTTTGTGTTTAATCGTATCCAGGCATCTTCCGTGTTTCAAAAGGAAGAGAAAGAGGAGGGAGAGAGGAAACAAGCCTTTTCATCCCACAGCCCCTCCGACTCTGGCCTGGCTTTCAGAAGCCCACATGCTCTACCTCTGCTGCCTCAAGGCCCACTTCCTCATTCCCATAAGGTCGCCTCCCACACCCCACTTCGCACATCCAATGGCCACGGCTCAGTTTTCATCATACATACTTGACCTCCTGACAAATCTAGTACCATCCTTCCAGAAGCTGTCTCCATCAGCGACCCTCATCTACAAGGCCTGCTGTTCCAGCCACTTTCCCTACCTCCACGGGCCCACCCTGACAGCCACCCCATCTCCTTCCTACCTAGACGGTCCTCACGGCCACCGTCCTGAGCTCCGTTTCCAGCCAGCCCCACAGGCTTTTATGCACAGCAGGCAGCGGGGTCCTGCTCAGCCCTAAGTCAGATCCTGCCCCTCCTCTGCCCAAACCCTTCCCAGGGCTCCCATAAGAGCAAATAGCCTTAACTCCTGGAACACCCCTCCCCCAGATACCCTCATGTCTCACCCCCGACCTCCCTCAGGTCTTTGGTTAAATGTCACCCCCTCAGAAAGGCCCTCCTTGTCCGTCCTATTGAAAACAGTCACGCTCCTGCTATCCCTCCACCTGGTTTTGGTTTTTCGCTTAGCACTTACTACTACCTGTTCTTACGAGCATTCTTTTGGTCTGTGAGCTGCCAGAGGGCAGGGACCATGTCTGTTCCGTTCACTTCTGTGTTCCCAGGGCCTGGAACGGTGCCTGGCACATGGCAGGTGCTCAATCCGAGTCTCCTGGATGCACGGTGTTCCTCCCATCTCGCAGGTTGCCCCTGCTTCTCCCCCATCCTGAAATGTTGGTGTTTCCCAGGACTTCATCTCATCTCTTGGTTTCCTCTCACCCATAGTGGCCCTGCCCTCCGGGCGGCCCCCCACCACCACTCCTGCTCACTGTCCCAACCTGCTCCTCCATGACACCAGATGGGCACCTGATGGGTTCCTGTGCCCCAAATCCATAACCCGGATGTCCCCCAGCCCCTGGAGCCCAACTGCTGGGATTCAAAACCAGTGTCTCAGCTCCAAAGTTGTCTGACACTCAGCTCTTCCCTCCCCTGCCCACTGCTCTCTCTGTTTAAGGTATCATCACCCAGCCAGCAGGCCTCTGCACCTGGGCTGTCCTTCACCTCCTCTCCCCCCCCCCACCCCCCAGGCAGCGTGTCCCATCCATCCTGCTGCTTCAGCTTCTCTCGTCAGCATCCATCCTCCCATCTACCTGGCGCTGCCCCGGCTGCTGCCCTGGTTCAGGCCTCATCAACTCCCACTTGGCTTCTCTACCCCGAGTCTCACTCTCTCATCCTCTTTGACTCCCCTGGATGCCTGGTGCTTAGGCAACACTGACTCAACCAAAGGATGGATTTAAACTGAAGGCTTTTGGGTCAGAAGGTCACCCAGCTCATCCCTTCAGCTCACAGTGGACTGTTCTCTCCCTGCGCCCATCGACCTAGCCCAGTGGTCGGCAAACTGTGACCCCTTGAGTGTGGCTCTTCCACAAAATACCACGTGCGGGTATTTTGAAACTTCGTGGACACACTCAAGGGGCCAAAGAGCAGCATGTGGCTCGCGAGCCACAGTTTGCCGACCACTGACCTAGCCTGATAATCCCGGAGTTCCCACAGGACACCGTGAGCCAGAGGTCACTGATGTAGGAGTCAGGCTGACCTGAGTTCGCATCCTGACCCTGAGCTCGCATGGCTATGGATGAGCGCATCTCTGTTTCCCCATCTGCAAAATGGAGAAGACGACAGCACGTCAGGGGGTGGCTGGGAAAACCGGCGAGGTCACTCCCATGCCACTCTCAGCCTGCCGCCGGCTACGGCCCTGCTTCGCGTAGCCCACCTGGGCAAGAATGCAGAGGACCAATGGGCCATCATTTAATCAACATAATCTCTGTTTTGAACTCCGTACCACGGGTTGGGGGAAGCTCAGTCCTGGTCAAGTCAGTCCAAGGGTGGCAGATCACCTCAGGGTTGGGAATGTCACTTGTCTACGCTGGTGTTCTCGAGGGGCCCCCCATCATGCTGGGTCTTTGGTGGGGTTCATGCAAGGGTTGGCCATGTCATCTCCTACGTGACTGACCCCTTGGGTTGAGTGCTCCCTCATGCCTTTCAGTGCTCAGGTCACTGCCAAGTCCCTCTGTGCCCGAGGAGCCGGCCACAGGTCGGGCTCATACGCCTAACCACACCTGGCAGTCGCTTTCCCCGGGTCCTGCACTTCCGGGGGTAGCATCAGAGCCTAGAAGGTGAGAGCCCAACACTGGAGCCCAACTGTTGGGATTCGAAACCAGTTCTGCCTCTTCTTTGCTGTGTGGCCCGGGGCAAGTTGCTTCACCTCTCTGAGCCTTGGTTTCCTTTCCTATAAAGTGGAGTGACAACTACCTACCTCTATGAGGTGAGGCACAGGCAGTTCTTGGTCCGGTGCCAGGTACCTAGTAAACTCTCAAT